TATTTAAAAAATATGTAAGGTCCAAGTTATTAATATTGCTAAAATAATTTGCTGATAGAAAGTGTGCAAACCAGAAAGCATAATTTATTCTTACACGATTATCTTGTTGTATTTAATGTGATTGAGACTCTTTTATTAGAAAATTATATTTGTGTATTTGATATGAAAAAAAATAATTAAAAAATCACTAAAGAAGAAAATAATTTTCTAACTTTCTGGAGATGAAATTGATTCCACAAAATATATTGATTCACAATATTAAGTTTAAAAGTTTCATGATATGTGAAACAACTAATTAAAATTTTCAAATTGTAATTTTTTTATTTAATTATATTCTTTGCTGCTTAGTAAGGCTGTCCCTACCTCTATTTCTCTCTACCGACACTCACTATTACTTTCTCTTACAAATTCATTTCCCTTTCAAACATTAATTTACATAGGCATAATTAATTTGGTTCAAATCTGATATATATATCCTCTAATTTTAGATGTGTATAAGTAGATATTTAAATTCGTATAAAATTGAATAAATACATATATTCGTCCTCGACACATCCTATATGACAATTTGTATCCTGTGTGGTGTTCTATGTGTATTATGTTAGGTAGGATGTCTGTGTCTACTTGTTTAATTTTATACAAGTTTAAGTGTCTAGTTATATACCCCTAAAGTTGAATGACATATAAATTTCAGGTAAAATCAAGTTAAAATATGTATTACTATCTTTTATATAATCCAACGTCTTTGGATCGTTTTATTAGTAGCAATCAAATGACAATAATAATTATACTATTGTTTTATTCTTTTCATTATTATTATTGTTGTCATCTCTATTATGAGTTTGTTCTTTGTTATTTCTAATTAATTCTATGGACAGTGAGTTGTAAGGACAGTCTGGACACCATATAGGAGGACAAATAAGGGGGCCCTCCTCTACCCAGTGGCGGAGCCACATTATCATTGGGTTAATCCGAATCCCCTTCGGCGAAAAATTATATTATTTTTATATGGTTAAAATAAATTTTTAGGTATATTTAGTAGATGTCGAGCCTCCTTCGGCTACTTCGTGTGTCTATTTCTTTAGTTTTTAAACCCCCTTACTGATAATTCTGGTTCTGCCACTGCTCCTACTTGCTCATCATTAAAAGGTTAAGAGATAGGTGATGAGTGATGAATGACGAAGTCGGAATTTTCATTAATTTTTTAAAAATTATTCAAAAATAAACATACGAAAAAGTCAGGGTTTCAATAACTGCTAACTCCATAAACAAACCATTAGAGATAATTAACTTATGTTTCTTTGTTTTTCATTTTGTTTTGCTTACTAATATATATAAGGTTTTAATCGATGAATATATCACACATATAAGTAATAAAGATTCACAATTTAGCAATTTATGAAATATAGTTTTTTTTCCATATATTTGTTAGGCTTTACATTGAAAATGCTTGGTTCAATTGAATTTATGCTATATCCACCTATGCTCCCTGGCATTTAATAAGTGCCACTTTCAAAAATACAACTAGTAAAATTAATTCTAGTGCACGTGAAGTTTTATGATAAATTCGTGATAGACTAGATTGAATTTTAACCTTGAAAATCAAATCATCACTTGAAGCTAACAAAAAATCATTGTTAATTTGTCGCTAAATAGGATTAGAGATGAATTTTACTATTACAAAAATTTTACGTTACTAAATTCAAATTTTTAATACTGAATTAAAAAGGTGTATTTTAAAAGGAAAAAAAAATACCTATTATACATCTTATTTTACCATAATCTCTAAAATTCCCTATATTTTAAAAAAAAATCAAAAATCCCCTCTCGCTGATACATCTCTATTCCCCTCTTGGATACATCCTTCCCCTTTCTGATACATCATTTCCCTCTTGGATACATCTCTCCCCTCTCTGATACATTCCTCCCCTATGTATCCCAATGTCCTATCCCCTCTTTGATACATCCCTCCCCTATGTATCTGAATGTCCTATCCCCTCTCTGATACATCCCTCCCCTCTCGGATACATCCCTCCCCTATGTATCTGGATGATTGTTGATGTATTCGAAAGTCAGGTGATGTATCCAAAATCCATAAATTTTAAGGGATTCTTGTAATTTGAAAGAGTAGAGAAATCATATAATTAGCTCTTAACACTATGAAATTTATGCAAATTATACTTTTTAAAATTTGTTTTCAAATTATAATGTTCAATTTATTGATCTTTTTGCCTAACTAAACTTTATGTTAATGAAGGTTATTTTATTTTTAGAAGAAAGTACTACCTTGTTTTCTAAATGTTATAAAAGATAATATTTAGTCAAAATTAATTACCTACTAACAATTTTTTTCTTTTCAAATTTTAAAATATAATGTGAATGTAATTTACTCCACCAATTAGCATCAAGAATTTTGAGCTGTAAATATGATCTATTTAGTTTTTATGAACTTTTCCTCCACGTGACTAAGTCAAATTAAGTGATATACACACCTTGAAAAGTTAAAAATCACTTTACTTCACAACACTACTAAGATATTATCCTAAAGTCATAAATATTTTTTTTATTTCATTCGGTGTTCGATATTTACTTTGAACATTTTTATTTCGTTTGGTATTTGATATCTGCTATGTCGGTTTACATTGGCTTTGTGTTTTTTAGCAATTTTTCTAAAGCTTGAATTATTGTCGTACGAATATATTTTACGTGGTAGGATCAATTTTGAAATCTTTGAGAATTCCCTTTTACCTAACCTTAGAATAAAACTCATTATTTGTTTGGTGTATTTGTTTTGTGTGATACGACTAAATGTCTTTAGAAAATTAAACAAAATTGACTTGATGATCATTTGTATACATAGCTTGATAAGGACATTACATCTGTTGATAATTAAACTATATTATATAATAATAATATAATATGCAATTGGAATTTGAAGCTGGATACAACTAATTAGTTAAGTATTAATAATCAATTTTTTAATCGCACACTCATTGATCTTCCATTTGAATTAAGTTTCATATGGCTCATAAATATTCGATCCACAAATCTTCTTTTTGAATTAAGTTCTACATGCATGATTTATTGTCACACCCTGCATGTCATTTTTTGAGATTTATTGTGTGTCACCCACATGAGTCATGACCAAGCATTAATGGTCACCAAAACTATATTCTTCTTCTGTGTGCGCGTCACTAAGTTACTTTTAGCATGATAACAGTAATAAGTTAAAAATTAGGCTAAAACTCTATTATATTTTCATAGTCGTTTCATCAAATCATTATATCTAACATCAATTATTGTTAGAGTAAAGTAAATTAAATTGAAAAGTACTTTTAATTAATCAGTATAATTCATTTTGGATCAAATCTGTTCAATTTTACTTAAAAAAATCTCAAACTTTCTGTATATTCTTTGCAATATAATATTTTCAATAAGTACACCTAACATAGATAAAAGGTGTGTGACTTCACAAGAAGTTTAAAATGTTAGTAATTAAGTTATATTAAGATATGTGATATTACATACTCTTTGTTAGTGTAGAAATTAATGTTAAGAGGAATTAAGCAAATGTGATTACAAGAAAACCTTAAATATTTAAAAAGTTGATTTTTAACAGTGGTTGGACTTGGCGTGTTGAGGAGCAAAAAGAATACTAAAATAGTATTGGCCAATCTATTCACCTTTTTCTCTTTTAAATTTCTTGTTTGTTTGTTTCTACTTTACATAATATATATTACCCAACTAAAGTTTTATCAAGTTAAAAAGGAACTTCCTCTAGCACTAGATTATTTTAAAATTTTATCAATGTAACGTGTATATTTAAAGGGTAAACATGATTTTATACCATAGGATAAAAGATAAATATGACTTGTAACAACAAGTAATTACAAAATTATAGGAATGATCAGGGGAGATCTACGTGGAGTTTTCGAACCCTCTGAATTGTAAAAGTATATTGTGTATATAGAGTATTTTATGTCTATATATTTAATATTGAAATGCCTTAATACAAGTAAGGGGCTGGTTTAGTCTATATATGGGGTTTCAGAAACTAGTAGGCGCGCAGGTTTAAATATGGCTAGTAACATTTTTCAATGTTTAAGCTTGAAATTTGGTATAACTTATTTGTTAACACTATTTAACATGTTTTTTTAATCTCTTAACGAAAATTCTGGCTCCGTCACTGGAGATGATAGTTTAAATAACATGAAAATGCATTAGTGATAACAATTCCTACAAATACTTATGGTGTGTTCGGTAGGAAAACAAATTTCTTGAAAAACAAAAAAAATAATTTCAATCATGAAAGTAAGAAAAACAAGTTTCACAAGCGACATTCTATATTGATTGTGCTTGAACGTGCGCTCACCCTTCAATAGACCTCATATTCACGTTTAACTCACCATATAGCCCCCATCCCACACCCCTACCCCACCTCAAAATATAAATTCTTATTCACATATCAAACACATCAAAATAAATAAGAAACTCACTTATTTTCTTGAAAAACATATTCATTCATACTCAACACACCCTAATAGACAAATTAGTTTTTATTATGTTATATGTCATTTATAAATGAAGGAAATTTTAGAGTTTTAGGATAAAATGCTTATGATCATTTTAAAAGTTATAGTTGATAATAAAGGTATTATTTTATTTCATAACTAAGTTCATCATGTAAGTGTCATGTTCGATCATGACTCCAACCTGAGCAAATATTAACATTACCCAACAAAACACAAGAGTTAAGTTTTTTAATTTCGTGGGACCTATAAATTAATAAAAAAAATTTAGTGCGACCCTTTCTCGAGCTCTCCTCGATCCTTTGCCAATTTATATAAACTAAAGCCTTAATAATTCATTAAAATTTCATGGACAAATGTTGATTTGCATGAATTGAACGTTAAGATATTAATTAGTAAAAAAATACAATATCATTGCATATATATATATACACACACCCCTCTATAGAAACACTACTATATCTCCTTTCTTCTCTTCAAAACACAAATCTCCATCTCTCTCCTCTCGCCGGCAAAAATGAAGGTCTCGCCGGCGGCACCACTTTCCGTCACTCTCCTCCTCGTCCTATTTCTCTCCACCACCACTTACGCCCACAACATTACTAAGATCCTCGCAAAACACCCTGAATTCTCCACCTTCAACCATTACCTAACCGTCACACACTTAGCTGCTGAAATCAATCGCCGACAGACCATCACTGTCTGCGCAATTGACAATGCCGCCATGAACGTCCTCCTTGAAAAACACCTCCCTACTTACACTCTCAAAAACGTCCTTTCTCTCCACGTATTCGCCGATTACTTCGGCGCTAAGAAACTCCATCAAATCACTAAAGGAAGTACCCTCACCGCCACAATGTTCCAGGCCACCGGCGAAGCTCCGGGAACTTCAGGGTACATCAATATCACAAATATGAAAGGTGGGAAAGTAGGTTTCGCAAATGAAGACAACGACGGCCATTTCGCTGCTACTTTCGTTAAATCCGTCGTAGAAATGCCGTACAACATCTCCGTTATTCAAATCAGCCATATTCTCACTTCCGCCGCTGCTGAAGCTCCGGTAGCTGCTCCAAGTGACCTTAACGTCACCACATTAATGGCGAAACAGGGATGCAAATCATTTTCAGATCTGTTAAAATCTCACCCAGATGTCGCCAAAACCTTCGCAGAAAATGTACAGAGTGGGTTAACAGTGTTCTGTCCCACCGACGGCGTAATCAGCGCCTTCATGCCTAAATTCAAAAACCTAACAAAAGACGGCCAGGCTTCATTACTACTATACCATGGAATCCCTGTTTACAATTCCATGGGTATGTTGAAATCCAACAACGGATTAATGAACACTCTAGCTACAGAAGGTAAGAAAAAATACGATTTCACCGTTCAAAACGACGGAGACGATGTGAAATTGGAAACAAAAGTCGTAACAGCAACGATCTCCGGTACATTATACGATGAAGAGCCATTATCCGTTTACAAAGTCGATAAAGTTTTACTCCCCAGAGAATTATTCAAAGGTACTGTAGCTGAAGAACCAGCTCCAGCTCCGAAAGGTTCGAAGAAAAAGAAGAAGAGCAGCAAAAAGGGAGGAGCCGATGATGTTGAAGACGACGGTGCACCGGAGTCCAGCCAGGACGACGATGAAGATCCGGCGGATGATTCTGCAAATTTGAACTGGGCTAATAATGTGAAGAGTAGTGGATTGTTTGTTACAGTTGTAATAAGCATTATTTGTGTTGCCATTATTTGATAATAATGGGACCATAATGTTATTTTGGCTTGCACATAGATATCATTTTTTTTATTTTTATGTTTTTGAAAGAGTTTTTTGGTATTTAATTTTCATTGTATTGTGCAATTTTTTCTTTTTCTTTTTATCCACATTGTAATTTGTATTTGAAAAAAAAAAATACAATAAATTGCATCTTTTTATCAAATTTAATTTATAAATACTTGATTAATCATCGAAGATTTGGTAAGTAAGACTTCTGTTTGTTAGCACTCAAATACTCAATTGTGTGTGATACTTATTCGATCTAATACTAATCTTTTTATTTCTGATTCTGAAAATTGATGAAATGTTATTATAAAGAGATAGATGTGAAATGACAAAGTGTAGAAATAATGGCTACTTCTCATGTGTCGGTGCGAAGGAAATTCCTTTTTTTTTTTTGCTTTTTGATAAATAAGGGAGTATATGATCTCCATATCTTCCTTTTTCCTCTTAAGGTTTAATATGTTTGCATAAATAATGTGAAGTACCAAACAAAGGAATAAAGCCGTTTATTTTATTTTTTTGCTTTTTAGACTTTAATGTTATGATGACAGATCAATTTTATATGTGTTAAATAATTGGAAGTTTGAATAATGCAATTTGGAATTATAAAATCATACTTGATTAATAATTGCTATATGACGAGATTTAAACGTGGCATAGTGTCGGTGCCTTTTAATTACTGTAAAATTTTATTATAATGTTTTTTATTTTATGAATCTTGTAGTATTGAATTTAATAATTTTGGTTGTGATTCTGCTGTATTAATGACTAGTTGGCCAATTGCATTTTCTCCAAGAAAAGACGACCTACATGTTAAATCACCCACTCTTCCAGCTAATAAATTTATCACAATTCACATGATAAGTATCCAACACAAATAAGTCTATTAATGTTAGACTAGTTATTAAATTTTATTTAGATATTCTGAATCGCTCGGTACATAGATATTTCAATAAGTCGTAAAATTTTATATTTATTTTAGTTGATATTGATGTTTATAATTAAAGAAGGAAACATATCTATGTAACTAACTTATCCACGCACGTGACACACGTTTGAGAACACACGCACCAACTTTTAAATGTATGAGTCGAAAGTGTCTAATAAGAACATATTATCAGGTGTTCAATTGAAACATGTTATTATTAATGTCTAATAAAATTTGATAAAAAATTAAAAGGATTGTCAATGTATTGAACCTCAGTATTATTAGGTATATATAGTGTAATTTTTTTTAATTAATTAATTAATGTTGTAATGGAGAGCATAATTAATGTTACAAGAAGTATTTCTTTATATAGCTTTCTTATTAATTGTTTCTTAATCAGTTTAGCCTCGAAATATGAGAGGTGTGTCCATTTCCTTAATTGTCAAATTATTATAATACAACTTGTTGAGCTAGAATAAATTTGGCGTGGATTATACTTATCAAATTTTAAGATTCAATGAGTTTTAGTTTTAACTTGAGATTAAAATTGCAGTTCTTATAGGTTCAAAGTCTTGTGAAGACAATCTATGTTTTTCTTCTTCAATTATCTTTTTAATGAAATCAACATTGTCAATAAAATAAACGAAAAATGGCCAAAAATACCTCTAAACTATAGGAAAAGCTTTAAAAATATCCTTCATCCACCTTTTGATCTAAAAATACTCTCTACTCATTTTTTTGGTCTAAAAATATCATTTCATTCACCTTTTTGACTAACTCAAATCCTTGAAATTAATAACCCTTTCTTTATTTTGTTTTATTATGTGTCGTTTTCTTATTAGATGAAATAAATTCGCCATCTCTATTAGATTTTCCCCCATAATTTAAAAAAAGTATTTAAAAAATTTAAAAAAAAACAGTAATTTTTTTGTAATTGCTATATCCTTTTCTTTTTAATTCTTTTTAGGGTCATGAAGAAGATATATTATTTTGGTTTGGCTAAATTATGAGAAAAATCTATAAAAACTTTTAAAGAAAATATAATATCTTTTTGTACTTTCTGTATATTAATGTTATGGTAAAAATAAAGAAAACAATTCAAATTTCATTAAATGAAAAGTAAAGAAAGCTAATACGGAGGAAAAATTTCAGAATATGGCAAACATTCATATATATTCAAGAAAAATAACTACGTTTTATTTTTTTCATGTTATATGGATATAATTAGACTATAAATAGCAAAGTTAATTATGTACAAATAAATAATTTTTTATTTATATATTTAATATAATAAATAAATATTAAATAGGAAAGTAATTATTGAATGCCTAATTAATTATGGCAGACACATTTGTGATATTTTCCCATGTTTACCATCATCAAATTTTTCTCTTTCATCAATATTCATACATCACATACTTTTTGATTCCCCCCCCCCCCCCCCAAATTCATTCAAATTCAAGATCCATTACATCACTGCAGGAGCGATTTTTGTGATTTTGTATTCATCAGATATCTTCTAATTGCATATTTATCTCATTTTTATGAACATTATATATCTACACATCTACACTTTCTTCTATTTTCATAGGGTTTTGATTCAAGAATTTGTTTATCCATTTCAATGGCTGAAATTGATACTCCGAGGAGGGTTACGAGAGATATACATTTATTTGACAAATTGTTGGATGAACTACCTTCTTTTGATTTGTGTATTACTCAACAACAAGTCAAATTTTCAGGCTCTATTGTTGCAATGGAGAACGAAAGAAGAACAAAAAAGGTTAATGACCATATACCCTTAAATCTGCTTGAAGAAATCGAACATGCAAAATTAGTAAAGAGGAAAAAAGGTTCAAAAGTGAAAACTAATCTTGTGATTCAAGTGGGTGTGAAAAAAGAGCAGTTGAGCAGGAACAAGAGGAAAATGAAATTGAGATTTGTATGCTTTATTTTTTTTAGTTTAATGTCATTTACTTATATATCTCAACACATGTATTGTGTGCCATTGTCATTATATTATGGATTGTCCTCTTGTATTGAAATTGTTAGAAAATTTGATTTCGTATGTATATAGTTGTTAAAAAATGAGTACAAGAAGAACATGAACAAAAAAGAGATTAAGGGTTCTTTGATTGTCAATTTTGTATATAGTAGAATACTTATATACATAGACATTTGTATTATTATATAACCACAAATTGAATTGTTGATCTGTGAATACAATTATATTTGAATACATAAGTACTCTGTCAAATTTAAAAAGTTGATTAGGGAATTCAAGTATAGTTGGATACATCAATACAATATTGTTGGCCTTTTCAAAATTTTATTTACAAGAGTACTTATACAGTTTGATACCCACAAATTGTATATTTTTTTGCTCATGTGTCTAATGTTACTTATACAGTTTTATACCCACAAATTGTATCTTTTTTGCTCGTTTGTCTAATGTATCCATATTTTTGCTTAACAACAATGTTGAAATGTATCCATATTTATATACATAGATACTTGTATTGTTATATAAGCACAAGTTGAAATGTTAATTTGCGAATACAGTTATATCTAGATAGATAAGTACTATATCCAAGATAAAAAGTTGATTAGGGAATACAAGTATAGTTGTATCCAACGCATTCATTTTTGTGTTTAACAACAACGTATTCATTGTATTCTATATTGGTGTATTTATTTTTTGTTTAACAACTAGTGTATCTTTTGCCATGTAGTTCACCTAATTCAAAATCGAAATACTTAACCTTCATTCACAAATTCAACAATTTGCTTACATACAATAACTTGAATTAACAAAAAAATTTATTAATACCTTCACGACGCCAGAATAAGAATTATGGAGACAACAAGAAAATTGAGTATGATGTATCACATTTTTTGTTAAACTGATAAAGAATATGATATGATATTTCTTTAAATGAGTAATTTTCAGTTATAAAGTTAATTATGGGAAGTTGCTCATTGTATGGACGTAATGTAAGGATATTGGGTTATATTTAGAGTCAATTCCTTATTTAGTTTGTTGTACTTAAAGATGTATTAATGTATAAATAAAAAAAAAAACTATACAAAAATACAGCGAAAAAGTGATATAAATTGTAGTCATTTATTGTAAATAGCATACTTATAGCTATTGGTAGGGTTGTTCACGGTTTGGATAAAAACCGATTCAAACCAAAAAATTGAACCAAACCGATTAAATGAACCGATTTTATTTAGGGTATGGTTTTAGATTTTTTAAAAATCAATAATATTTGGTTTGGTTATGGTTTTGTTCGAAAAAACCCGAAAAAATAACCGAACCAAACCGATAAATAATACACATAAATTTTATTATTATACATACATAATATACTATTTTATAAACAATTTTAAAAATCTTATATATGTATTCATCAAAATTTATTTATAATTTACTTATGAAAGTAAAAATGTCCAAGGTAAGAACATCTATCTTATTGGTTTCATGTATATGAGTGTCTATGACAATTCTTTGTGGGACTAAAAATGTCAATGTCTCTTCCTTCTAGGACAAAACTAGTGAATTTTGAAGTTTTATTCATAGTGAATTCAATGATCGAAAGTTTTGTAATGTCAGTCATTCTAACTATTTTTCGTTTTGAATGGATTATTGTGACTTTTTTCACGTTTTGAATAAATTATTTCTTTTAATTTTATGTATATGGTTAATAACCGAACCAAACCAAACCGAAACCGATAACAACCAAACCGATAAATATATATTATATTAGGTTTGGTTTGGTTTTGATAATTTTAAAACCGATTAAGTTGGTTTGGTTTTGATTTTGACCAATAACCGACCCAAACCAACCCGTGAACACCCCTAGCTATTGGTATTCATTAACCCTATAAATATAGTTATTTTTGTAAGTTGCTCTTAAAAAAATCACTTTGATTCTTAAAAGATTGATTTTTTTAGTCTAAATGGAATATAAGTATGTGCAATAATACTTTTAAATTATCAAAATATGTTTTGTTGTAACTTTAGATTTTTTAAAATTCTTTTTAGATTTTTCTCCATAATTGATCCAATTGAAAATAATCTACCTGCAGTTGTCC